TTTGAGGTTTGGAGTTGTACATTTAAAAACTCAGTACAGCAACTAACAAAGCTGCCATAACTGTAAAACACAGTCATAGAAAATTTGAAATATATAAGAGGAAAACAGAAATGAAATGTAATCCAAACATCCACACATAACCATTGTTAATATTTTTGGGGTACCAACATAATTGCAAGATTGTAACAACAGCATTAGCGATTTGTTGAAACACAATGTGCACCAAGTACTTTTAATATAAAATTAGCCCTCAAGAATGCTTTAAAAAAAAGTAGGAGACATGTAAACAATAATTACCATATACCACAAGACATATTACAACAGAAGTGTTGTATGACCAATGGGAGTACAAGTGAAGAATTCATTTAACTTTTTAGAACTAAAAAAGATGTGAATTATCTAAATAACACATGCTTAATTATGTTAAATATTACAGTGAATTGTACATATTTATTGGTCACCCATAGTTCTCAATTCATCTAAAACTTTAACAAATTTGAAATTAAAATTAATTCTACTAATATAGTAATGACATCTTTAAGTAGTAAAAATCTAAACATAAAGATATTTCTTATCAGAACTTTTTCCCTGTCACCTACCATAAGCTGTTCCTGGGCCAAACTCAGTCCCTGCATCAATCATATATTGTCCCAAAAGTTCTGGGTTGTTTACACGACTTGGAGCTTTTCTATCCAGTTTCTCATAGACAAATTCTTCTATCCTGGCATCTAGGAGAAAGGTTAAAATCACCAATGATTTCAAAAAGCAAAACTATTTAAAAATTGTTTTGTTCCAACTACCAGCCATTTACCACTTCTTAAAAATGAAATTAACATTCATTCAAGTACATATCTTAATATTTAATTTTTCATTTATATGTTAGAGAATTACATAACTCTAAGAAATTATATTTCAGATATTTAATAAAATATCTTGGCACAAAAACATTTAAAAATAAAGCTAATGCTATTATTTGAGTATTCTATGGGATTTTAAGTTCCAGAAGGTTGACAGTAATTCACTTAATATCTAATGAAGTTGCCTTTGCCCTATTTTTAACATTTTTAAATCTAATTCTTAACTCTGAATATATGCTAATAATTTCAAAATCAGGGATTTCCAGCTAGGAATATATGGATAAAAGGACCTAGAAGAACCAAAGAGTCACAGCTGACACCTTTACCATGAACATGTGCTCTCTCTTGTCTCCTGTCTAAATATAGACGCAAGAGCTTAAGGAACAGAACAGTCCAGATTTGTAATAACCTTAGTTATTAGCATAATATTTAAGACCAAAGAAATTCACATTTACATTGCTGCCCCAAAAGTAAGGTATTACAGGGATAAATGAGAAAATGACTGAAGTTTCCAGAAACAATGATTAAGTATAAATTAAAATTACAATCCAAAAAGAAGCTAAGTCAAATAAAAAATGTCAGTACAGTAACTAACAAAGCTGGCAGAAGTGTAAAATATGATTATAGAAAATTTTAAATGTATAAGAGGAAAATGGAAATGAAATGTAATCATTTCAAAGTACCTCACATAGATTCCTACATAATTGGAAGTTTCACAGTGCACTGAAAATTTTTAAAATGAGCTGAACCAGTAACAGAAACATTTCAGGAGTTGGCAAGAGTTAATTATAAAATATAAAACAGGGTGTTGGAATATTTGTTTTTATGGTAGATTCTGGTACAAAATCATAAGAGTTTTCAAGCAGAAATTTAAAAACCTTTATATTAATTAAAACCAAAATGAATCTTTTCAAAACATAATCATTTAGAAGAAGCTAAATACCTTTTAGAATTTCACTTTCTCATTATGATTCTTAGCTTTGTTTGCTTTTCTACCTACCTAGTCAAAAGTTTAAAGTTGAATTGTATGTTAATTTCATTCAATTAATAAAACATTTGGTATATTAATACCAAGATATAATAAGTGTTTCATTTCAATATGTAATTCAATAGGTCATAATAAAATCTCAACAAAATATGCAGGTAGTTCTGCTATAATGCAATATATATTTCTGCACAACATATTTCTGAAAAATCCTAGCTTCTGGAAAATCATGCACTAAAAATAACATAGTACTTACAGGAAAAAGAGGGTTAAGTCTCACCGTTTTAAAAAATCTATGTAACTTTATAACCAGAGTAAAACAATTTTTTACTACTTTGTGACACAAAACAGGAGCAAGGGATAATTGCATTCTATTTTTCCCTGTTTACCAGTCATGTATGAGCTTACTTACCATTCAGAAAAACATGTTTAGAACAGACTATATATAT